ATTATTACATTATTTTTTAAATTTGTGCAAATTCTTATTCAAGGATAAGTTGTAAGATCTTTTCAAATGGATCAAATCCAGACTCTTTTGAGGTACTGTTTATTGGGTTGTCATGTGGAATTCTGTCATTAAAAAATAATTTTAATTGTATTTTAGACAACAAGAGGAAGAGTTTTTTTCAGTTCCATTTGAAGTGAGTTGGTATAATGTTTTTAATTTGATGTTAGCTGGGGAGCCAGCAGATAGCTCCGGTTCAGAGCTCAGTCTGATCATGGTTTAGAATGAGAATATTCTTGCCTACAGTAGGTTCCATTTTCTTCCCTTGTATTAACTTTGCGGGTGCAGATATCATTTCCAATATTACATAAAACATGATTATCAATCCTTTGAAATGAAGGACACAAAAATGTCAGTTAAATCCTTTTTGATACATTTTACTGTGGACATTTTTAATTGCATTATAATAACACTTTTATCTTCAGTGATGTAAGTTTTTGCACTAGTCTGAAGGTACAACTAAACACAAAGAAAAAAACAAACAACTAGACTCATTTTATTTAGTCAAGAGATGAGATCAGCTTGGAACTGTGGATTACATGGGTTTGGTCAGTGAATACTATAATCTTTTAATACTCAAATTCACTCCCACTGGCTGCGCAGTTTCAAAAACACTCTGATTTAGATCCTCTGATGCACCATTGAAAAGCTCCTTTTCTAAGTCGGGGATTGTCACTCAATTTCTTTTAATAAACATCCCCATTTCCCTCTGAAATAAAATCTGCGATAGGGATTGTACAAATGAATCTTCGAACACAGGGAGAGAGATGGGAAGATGCCCTGAGATCCCCAGGATGCATTGTGGAAGCCCTGTAAGAAAGATCTTTTTCATGACGATTTTGAAGATGATGATGTTATTTCAATGCTGCAGTTCCAAACTGTAAACCGATATCGATACCGAGGTGACTTTGTAACAGATGAAAATGGAAATTGTAGGTTATCTCCATAAAGAAGAAAATGCCATTTATTCTGATGAGCACATTTCAGCAAAACGCACAGCGCAGCACAACAACAGGAACATGGCTCACGTAACAGAAGTGAAACAAACACAGCAAACTGACACAATGAAACAAGAGACCAATTCAACTAGATGGCGAGTCTCTGGGAGGTGAGAGGTCAGAGCTTGGCCGTGACACAGTAAAACTCCACGAGAGCCCATTTACGGGGAATCACAGCGCTGAAAGCTCTGCATGTCCAGTGCAATATACATAGGCTGAGACATCCCATTGTATTTGTGCTGCATTGTTTTATTGAAGTGCATCGCACAGATGTAGCATGAGTGTTCACTTCACAGCAATGAATCTTACAGCACATACTTGGAACGTATAGCAAATCGGTGTTTGATCAGGCGTTTCGAGACTCCGTGAGCAGCTCCCACTCCAGCTCTCAGAGGCTCGGTTCTTTTCTTTCAAAAGTTGCGTTAATCCCAGCCACTAACTCTACGTTTCTAGGAGGGCTAAAACTTCACGTAAGAAATGTGGGATCATGGCAAAGCACGATGCTGGAAGGATTAAAATCATATAGTTTCGCATAATCATCTCAGTCCATATGTTCTCAAGTGCTTAGGCATGTCTTCCCAGCTGTAGACTGTGATCTTTTCCTCTCACTTCAGGCTTAATGTTCTTCACTCCCCGAAGTGAGCAAGCAACGCTAATTACAAAGCAATGCTCTTTCTTCATCGCTGTCTCTTCGTTAACCAAGCGGCTGTCGAATCCGTCACCTGAGGCCCGTGGAGGTTTGCTGTCGTGTTCCTTTCCTGGCGCTTGTGCTTTTGAAGGTCGGAAGCTGTTTCAAAAAGCTTAGGCACAGAGCAGCTCTCTTTCCACGCCAGGTGTGGGAAACTCTTCGGCTCTTCCCTTTCCTCCGGCAAACGGCTCAGCGTCTTGTGCTCCAGCGGTGTTAACGGTTAAGTGCTGTTAAGTCCGGGCTCATTCATTACAAAGTCTTTCTGTCTAGCTCTGCTTATCCTGCTGCACAACCAGGTCTCATTGCATTTTCCCTATTCCACACAGGAACACAGACAAAAATGACAGAATTCCTCATCCGCTGAGCCCTGACTGATCCTAACAAGTACCGGTGAAGATTCCAGGGGAATTGACTGAGTCAAAATTTATTTCCACAGCTCCATAGAAAACTAATGAAGAACCTATTGACCACCCATAGGAGCACGTGGTGTTTTAGCAACTGTTGTGGTTACAGTACACTCTGTCTTTCTCTATTGATATTAATTGCTCATAAGGGCTACTGTTAGTTTCCTGTCTGTTCTCTGCTGTGCATTCAACGTTAGCTGTCTTCAATCAAGGTTGGAAAAGAGAAGGAGGAAAGGCATTGAGCAGAGCCCCTGGGGGACAGCTGGACACCTGGAGGACACTGGAAAAGTCTTAGGTGACCAGCATGGAAAGATTTGCAAAGGTTGGCTGTACTGTATGTCGGCACTGTGTATGATAATTTAGGTCTATGCGTAGCATGTGGACGTGAAGGTCTTCCGCAAGGTTATACACATGGTGACCCCAAACTTCACCCAAGCCATAGCCTCTCTGCGTGCCCTTGCCTCTCTCCCAGATCGCTGCGTGCTGCACGGAGAGATCGCTTGAAGGAGAATGCTGAATGAATCCACGCTGATCTGCTCCACCTGATCTGCTCATCGCAGGAGTCCTGGAATGTGATGAGAGTGAATTGTAAATTAATTCAATCCCCTCATGGAAAACATCCAGCATCATCAAAGAAAAGAAGAATCGTTACCTGGAGAGGGAGGCAGACATGTTAATGTGCCCTAACTTCAGATCCTCACATTGTTTAACACGGAGGAAGCAGCCTGTGAGAATGACAGTGAAATCCAGGCCATGGCTGCAGGTCTGAGTAGCTTCCCCATCACCCATTGTCCTTCTAGGATATATTTAGCACTATGGGATGAAAATACACTTGCTTATTAAACCACACTCAAGGCCTTCCTGGTTCTCTTTTATGCTGTTATATGCTTGGCCACATCTTCACAGCGACACCAGGTTCTGTATGTTGTACAAGGGAGAGATTAAAAGGGTAGATTCACCACTGAAATGTGATGCAGATCTATTTTCCCTCAACCTTATAAATGTAGGAATTAAGGAGTAATAAACACTACAAATTAAACCAGCATAGTGGTCAAGTGTGAATCAACCAGAGCATTCGGTTCTAAATGAGGTCTGAGATTTATAGGAAGACATGAGCAAGTGCAACTCTGCTGCTCTGAGAGTGGAAGAGCAGTTTAAGCCTCAGCCAAGAGGCCAGACAGCGTTCCCCACATCTGTGTACCACTGTCTCTGCTCTGCTCGCGGGACAGTACAGTACAGTGGCCTTAAGATTTTCTCATATCTTAGCTTTAGTATTGAAATTCAAGTGTACATTTAAAAGTTTGCAATGAAAATACATCAAAAACTAAAGGACTTTCAAGATTGTGGATTTAAATAGAACTTTCTCAGAAACGGTTGCCTGTAATTCTAAATGCCTGATGTTCATATCCGCTCATATCCTGACAATCAAGTCTCCTTTGGTTTTGATAACCTGGAAAATTCACTGCCACTTTTTTGTGTTCTCTTAACCGCTTGGTCTTTATACTCCATGTAATGGTCATTTTTTGTTATTCAGATGTTTTAAAGGGACCTAAAAAAGCCTGTAGAAACACAGACCCCACAGGACCAGAAACGACGTGCCCGAAGTCCCCAGAAACTGCTGTACGTCGCCATCTAGTGACATTTCCTGGAACTCCGCTCACACAGACATGAATAAGCTGCAGACGTACTGTAGGTACAGTAAGTTTCAGCACTTGCTTATTCCATTTGTCTGTTTGTTATCTCCTTTTGCTTTCATTCGTGATATTGAATCCTGATAAGAGTCACAGCAACCTGGAGCCTATCCTAGAAATGTGGGCATAAGAGACCACACCCACCACACCACGCAGGCCCATCGCAGTGCAAACACACACCCACACACAATAAGTTCGGAAACTCCCGTTACCTTCGGGAGCCTGGAAAAACTCCATGAGCACAGACGAAAGATCTAACACCTCACCACCTTCCTGCCCCAACGTTTCAACACTTCTTCACAGTTTAAAATTATATAAAATACGCATTGAGCCAGTTCCTTCCTATAGCAGTAGACAATGAAAAGCAAATGGCTAATATATTATAAGTTTTTTTTCACTCAGGTGTCTACCAAGAAAGAAATAGCCATCATGCCTTATGAGGACAAAAAACTAAGTTTATAGATTATATTAAACAGTCCATTAGCACAGAAGAAGCAGGGGTGTTACGGATTTGAGGGTATTAGAAGCATTTGAACCTCCAGAATAACTGAAAATTTGTGGGCGTGTTGCAAGACACCCAGCCAGGCTCTTTCTAGAAACTGCTGGATCGCTTTTCCAGATAATGTCATTAACAGCCAAAGGAGTGGAATGGGCTCGATGTCTTCCCCCTCCCTTTGTACCCTTTCTTGAAATGGTTGGTTTTGTTGATTTCTATCCTTGCCTTGTCATATAATTCAGCAAAGTAGTTTACTTTAATTCAACGTTTTCAAAGTAATGGTAGGTTCATTGCGTCCTAACCCTGATTATTTCCAGAAATTGCACAGTATTAACTTGCAGTCTTCCCCTGAGGCGGTGTGATCATTTCTTAAGATCTAAAAGTAAGCTTTGTGCATCTTTTCGCATTTTTAATTACTTTACATAACAAAGGGTAAGGGTACAAAACCAAACCATGTTTCCCTTGCGAGTGGCATGTGCGTCTTCCTTTGTCCAAACTGTTCTTGACTCGTACTGTACCTGTTGAAATTACAGCTATTCGATCGCTCCCGCGACCGGTTATTTCTCTTTGCTCCGCTAGTGGCCGCTATTCCACTCAATCATCGGGGTCAGGCCGTGGTTAGATATCCGGTACAGCCTACTTTAACCGCAGACAATAATATTATAAAGACACTAGAGGGCTTCATAGGCGCATAAATGGTGTTCTCTCTGTCAATACGGCAGTAGATAGGCATGGTGGTACATACTGTACAAGTATTCTACTGCAAACGTGATAAAGTAACGACGGGGCTGGAGATTCCACGCGCTGTTTCTGTAGAAGCGCCCACGCATGCCGAAATGGAGGGCTTCATCGGAAAAGCCTTGCACGATATTTCAAACACGGGCAATGTTTGCAGATTCGTGAAGTTCATGAAAAATAATTCGGGCCGGCTGCAGTGAAAACTTGCTTATCCCGGGGGTACCTCAGTTTACTATGTGTTGCCCAGAAATTCCCTTTCTCGTCCTATTGCAATACCTGAACACAAACCGCCTCTTAAAAACACGGGCCCAGCCAAAATCGGATTGACCGTGCCGTACGGATGCAACCCCTCCTGCTACTCGGCCCTTTGGAAACAGCTCAAGGAAAAGGTAAGTTGTTAGACTGTTGCTGAAAGTCTGTGTCTGACAGGCGTTGGTTTTAAGCGACAACAGCAACAAAAACATTTCCACGACACTTTCGGTAATGGTGTCAGAATGAGCTAGGGGAGCCGGAGGCCCTCGTCTTGTCGGCTGAATTGCGAACAAAACTAGGACTCGCCTTCAGGTTAATGATTGAATTTGTTGACTTCAATTTAAACACCCACTGGCCCGTGACACGAGTCGCAGTGTGACAGGAACCGAGGGCTAGTGCGAGTGAAATCCGAGGCGAAATGAATGTCGTGCTGTTTGGTTACGGATACGCCCCGTTAATCCTGGAACTTCACTGGAGGCGCCGAGTCTAGGAGGGTAAGGCGGTACCGGGCCAAAGCGTCCCTGTGTGCATGTTGCGGGAGGGCGGGCACAACTGTCGGCATGTCTGAAGCATGACGACCCCGGCTCGGGGTGTGAGCGTGCATGCGCGCCCGCGCTCGGCTCACCTAAGACACCAGACCGCCTCGGACCGCTGACGTCACGCCCCCACCTGCCTGCCTCCGCGCGGCGAGACGCGCACAAGTTTGACAGTTCAGCTCCCTTTGGCGCAGGCTGCGGGCGTACAGCGCGTCTCTGCCTGCCAGGATCCGTGTCACCTGTGGCACCAGCCCGGCTACCGCTCTCTCTCCGCTTTCTTGAAAACAACAACTGACCAAAACGCGTATTTTTGCGTTGAAAGCAAAAAAGTAGCGCAGGTCACCCGAGGTTTTGTCTTCAGGTTAAACGGCAGAAGCTGTCGTTTACCATTTTGAATGTAGAAACAGGTTTTGTTGTTGTTGGGTTTTTTTTTTTAATTTTGGCTTCCGAAGGGCCGGCGTTTGAAACCCATATACAGTTTTCACTTAATAAAGGAGATAAGGCTTTGGCAAGGATAACAATGTCGAGAGACCCAGAAGAAGTGAACAAGCTCACCGAGAGTACCTACAAGGTAAGCCGTTTATTGATAATGGAATTAAATACCGACTTCAGCTCGCTGGTCTGAACTATATACTGCATGATAGCGCTTCCGCTTCGTACTCGAAAAGCCCCAATCGTTTCCCAGTGCCGTTTGACTAGGTACTGCTTCTGTACCTGATTGAACCGGGTAAGGTTAATCAGATCGGTCCAAAGAGAGGAGGTTCGGCTTAGCGAAGTCCTCCAGAGCTCGTAAACTAGTAGTTTCCCTGCCGTCCAGCGCGGCGTGTCCGGACTGTGGACTTTGAGAAGTGTCCCTTGGCATGACCCGTGGTATGAATATCAATATCGCCTCCTCGCCGGCCGGTGGATTGGCTAAAATGCGGATTGCGCACACCTGCAAAACCTGAATCTTCCACGTTTCCTCCTGAAAGCTGCTCCTTTATGGAAAACCGATGGAAACGTCCTGAGCTGCCCGGCACAGCACGCACTGAGAAGTTTATTTTTTTTATTATTTTCCACAGCTGATTGCTTGAGTGGTGTGTTTCATCAGTCACACAGAGCTCCGAGTGTTCAATTTCGTGTTCAACTTCCCGTTTCACTCCACCGTAATATTCCTCCCGGCAGAAATGAGAATTTCGTCTTTTAACAGAATGGAAAAATTGGAAGTAATTAACACTGAATGTTGTTCTTAGCAGACAGCCTGCTACTTGGTTCCTCACTGGCTGAAACGCGTTTTGAGAGTTTGAGTCACTATTTGTGGTTGGCCAGTGTGTCGGACTAAAATGAAACTCCAGTTTTATGGATGGTGAAAATAAACTGTCCTGTGTGCTGCAGACACGACAGATCGATGTTGGAGTCACGGGAAATATCTGTAATTCGCTAAATGAAAGCTCTGGGGCCCCTCTGGCCCCTGCCTCTAGAGCCATGGCAAGGAAAGCAGGCAGCGGGTGGAGCAGAGCCTGCAGGGGGGTGCAGTGGCCACGCCCTCGGTGAGCTGGCCGGGCCCAGCGGGCACCCGGGTCACTGTGATCACCCGCCAGGCTCTCTCTGTGCCCCTGCGAGCGAGGAGAGAAAGCCGTCTGGGGTCGAATTGGTCAATTAGACATCCTTAATGGAGCACGCGTTTGCAATTTATCAGGTGCTGGATGCTTGCTACAGTCATGTGACTCCCCATCGCAGTTCCTAGATATCATCAAAGGGAGTAGGGGCTCTGTAAGGGAACGTGTTTGTTTCAAGTAGCGCGAAGGACAGGAAAGGGTTTTACGGCTCTGAGCAGTGGCCCTGGTATCCGGTGTTCAGGACCCGAGCAGTGGGAATGGGAAAGGCTGCAGTGAAGGAGCACCTGTGCCAGCAGTGGAGCAGAGAGTCACCTGTTTGTCCCCTGGTCGCTAGGTGCAGGTGAGCACGCCTGCCTGCTCATTGTTTGAGAATGGGTGTGCCTGGACGTTAAAACGGGAACTGCTGTCCTGTGCTCTTTATTGGGGGTATTTCAAAAAGGTTTTTCGTTTGCAGTGAAAACAGACAGGTACTTTGCTCTCCATGATAAGTCAACAGCAACAAATTAGGCTTTGAATCATGTATATTTTGTGTCATTAGAAAACATACAAGGTTCGTGCTTTGGAAATGTGTTTTAGCTCACCAGCACAGGCAGGTCCAAGTAACTTATGCAGCTCTGTGAGCGCTTATATGGCTGAATTTTTTACTAACTGCACTGGGGATAGGGGCTTCATTTCCACCCCTTGTATCCCAAACCTGCCTGTCCGGAACGGTGAGTCACGGCCAGGCCTTTCAGTGCGCCTGAATGAGGCTGTGTCATGAGGGATCTGGGAACGCGAAGGTAAAACGGGTTTGGGATTAGTTTGAAAAGGGCGACGAGTGTTGGAATCGGGACAGGGGTCACCTGCAGGCCAAGTGTCACTGTACATGAGTGGTGAGACAGGCCCCTGGGTGAAGAAACTGGCCTCAAGTTCTCAGAGTCCGTAGTCCCAGTGCAGTAAGAAACCACTTTCTTTAGCAGTGCGGCGCAGCAGTGGGAAGGAGCTGCAGTATATCGCTGTCTTGTGCCTGAACCCTTGCTTTGGCCATCCGTACCGTACAATATTTTAAGTTTCATAACGTTTCAAATATGTATTGAATCATAATCGGCCGTCCTGAATGAATTCTAGAAGGCTGTCGACGTTAATCATTGCTGTTGCCGTACTGTATATCAGCCAGCTTGCAGTTTGTGCACCCTGGTGAGTTATGATTTGATGTTCACCGCCCTCCATCAGTCCATCAGTCCAGCCAGTGGATTATTGTGCTTCTAGAGCCTAGAAGTCGCTTTGTGCAGGCCAGTGGCAAGCCTTCCATCATCTCGCAACGAAAGCCGTATGATGTGAAACTTGCACAGGGTGCCAGATTGTATCTATAAATAGTTCACTTATCAGATAAGACCTACAGTATGGATGGGCCGCTCTTGGTTCAATTGCATTACATTCCAATGGGCACGTGAGGCCCTAGCGTTGTTTATTTCTGGTATTTATTGATGTAGGTAAGCGAAACGGCCTCTGATTGGACACCAGGTCTGCAGGGGTCTCAAAGTTCGGGAAGGTAGGGCTTGGAATCGCATGCAGGGAATTTCTCCTTTTGGTTCACACAAGACAGTCTGATAACGTGCTTGTAACTAGCGTTCCTCATTCTCTGTGTTTATTTGTTGTTGCATGATGTTCCTTTATACTTGCCTCTGGTCGATTCGGTTTCCCAGTTACAAACTCTAAGAATCAGCTGATTCGGAAGAAAGTCCCGAGCCGCTCTCCACAGCCACGGGGCATTTTGCCTCTTAAATCCCTCGAGCACCGTTTGCCCAGTTGACTCGCATCTCAGTCCTGCAGTTTATGAACTGATATGCTGCGTGTGTATGTACAGTAGTTGTGCCTTTCATTTGGAAAGTTGTTGAATAAGACGTAGCCACAACATTCCTTTCATCAGGATAGGGGTGAATGCCCTGTGCAGTGAATAGTGAAAACATAAACTATAGGTAAATACGCACAGACAACTGAACAAGTTTAAATGAAAAAAATAACTTTTTTTTTTTCCTTGAACTTAAGAAGCTGGTGAGTTTAAGATGCCCATTAAATCTGTATGACAGAATTGTTTGCTGCTTAATCTAAGACCTTGAGTGAATATAAGCTTTTTCCACTTAAACATGTACATAATTGTGTACAAAATATGTTCAAAAGGGTTGCGTTGAGAGCTCAGGTGAAATGGAGACCAGAAGAGACCCATGGCCCCTGGATTTCTTGTCTTGGACACTCCTTTCAAAAGTAGAGTATCCTAAGAGTATCTAAGAGTATCCTCACGCCATCGGAATGTGTGTGAGAACTGCCCCCAGGGCATCTGCATCTGCATCAGTCTGTACTCCCCCGGCCTGGCCTGAAGGTCAGAAACCCCAGCGGCGCCGCAGGACGAGAATCTCAAAGGTGTCGCTCTGCATAACAAAGACTCGCAGAGAGACAACAGACGCGCTGGACTGGATTGATGTCAGATGGCGGGCCTCCTGGTTCAGCTGTGGTTTCCGCAGTCGTAGACGGTGCGAGTTCAGATTGCTCCTGCCTTAAAGCGGAGAGGGATGGCTGGAGCTCTGCGCCTTGTCGTCCAGCACTCTGCTCAGCGACGTGATGGCTGTTACAGTGCACGTGTTTCATGAAACAGTCGACACCAACACTGTCAGCGCCAGGGCAGCTTGGGCATCCAATATGAAAAAGAGCCAGAGAATAATTTGGGTAATAAATCTGTTACCCAACAGTTATTACCCACTGTTCATTTTTGCAGTTGTTCTAAAAAACCCGTAACTGCGTGTTTAGCCTGGTAAAGCTAACGGATTATTGTGCCCTCAGAACATACACGCGTGATAATTTGCTTTTGCACTGTGATGTATTGAGACTCTGGAAGTGACCCTTGTGCTTTCTGTTTTACAAAATAGTGATGGTTAGAGCAGATCAGAACTATATCACATTAGGCATAAAACAACTAGATTACAAAGCAGACTGAATACAGGACATACGTGAGGTGGGAAGCAGGAAGCATAGTGTCTTTAAATATGTGCTCATGATTAAGGGCGTATGTGTGACTAATTCTGGTATTGGTGGTATCAGAATTATATGCTCAGAATTTGTATGTTTATAAACGGTAAATACATGCTTTTTTAGTTGTTTTTTAAGTTATCCACAGGTACAGTATAAGGCATGACCACACATGCTGTGTAATTAATATTTTTTAAATAAAATTCTCATTCGACCTTTCCAGTGCGTCCCATTCAGTTGTGTTTACTGCCTCCACTGAGGCCAGTCAGCCGCTGTTAAGACATCGGATTCTGACCACGTTGTTTCAAACCTTTCTCTGAGCTGCACTTCCGGTGCCTCGCCATCACAAAACTAACCAACAAGTCCTTGCTTCCCTCTGGAGATTTCAGCCATGTCGGGGATATTTGTTTCCACGTCTCTTGTTTGCGTTCTGCTTAAAGCCGGGGCTGCTGCTAGTATCGTGGGGTGGAAGTGAATATGATTGCAGTCAAGGATGTGCCGTTTGGGACAGTATTCCTGTTGATGCACTATAGGTCTTCTTACTGCCAGGGCTGCAGGCCCCTCTCTGGTGCCAGGGCTGGTGAGCGTGCTCTCTGGTGCCAGGGCTGGTGAGCGTGCTCTCTGGTGCCAGGGCTGGTGAGCGTGCTCTCTAGTGCCAGGGCTGGTGAGCGTGCTCTCTGCGTTCGGTGAAAACACGATGGTGGTGTCATGGCACGGGGGACCCCATCAACGCTGGCTGATCAGGCCAGGCTGCTCCTCGCTCTGCCCCCCCGTACTCCCGCATGGGCGCAGTGATCCCATGTGACAAGGACTCTTAATGGGCTCTTCCTCACCCAACAGCCCCCTTGTGGTCTTCTGCTACCTCCTCGATGTGCAGCAGGATTCCTGTCATGGCCTGTCTGTGCACAGGGTGTTTAGAAAGAAAGGAAATAAAAGGAAGGCATTCGGCATATCTGGGTTCTCCAGACAGTCGTGCCTTATTGATCCTGGAAAATCACCTCTTTGTTCCTTACTTCCTCTAGATCCGTCCTGAGTCGGCCCAAGTCATGTTCTGTTGTCTCCTGCGTTTGTGCTCAGCATGAAGCTGGGTGTTGAGTTGAGTGTGTCTGTTGCTTTCAGTAGCCTGAATACTCTTTCCAAGGTTGTGTTTGTTGCAGGTAAAAGTGATTCTGTTCTTTAATCCTTCAACTTGTGACATGACTTTCAGTCCTGTGTTTGTACAGGGTAGCCTTATCCAGACTCTTTCAAGCACAGTAATATACCATTAGGAATGTGGTTCCCAGGGGTTTGACAGACTGTTTCATTTGAGACTGCAATCGAGAGTGTTGGACCACATGCCAGGTTTATATATTATATATAAACGTATCGTAAATCAAGTCTCTTTCGGACAGAGAGTGATTGCTGTTTAAAATCCATTGCCCTTTAAAAGCTTTGGTCAACTGTGCAAAAGCTGGTTCATCTAAAGCACTTGGAAAACAAGCATCTTGGAATCCTTCAGGGGTACTGAAATGTCTTTTATATAAATCTTACAATATTCTAAATATTATTAAATCCACAAGGTGAACACTCACATATTGTATGCGTTTTCACAAAGCAGCAACCTGGCCTGTTCGTGAGGAAAAGCTGAGATTTCTGGTCTTTCTCTCGATGGCGAGACGGTGTTCTGATTCTGTCGTTTTCTCTGGCAGAATGTGATGGAACAGTTCAACCCCGGCCTCCGAAACCTTGTCAACCTGGGCAGGAGCTATGAAAAAGCTGCAGCAGGTAAGATGTACAGCGCAGATTCCATAAGAACATAAGAAAGGCTGCAGACAAAAAGAGGCCCTTCTTGTTTGTCTGGTAGCTAAATTCATACAAAACTGAGTCCAGCTGTGCGTCAGTCCAGCACCTTCTCGTGTGTAGAAATACTTGGGATTTCTCCACCCCAGATGAATTTCCTTTTTGTTTCCAGATCTGACCCCTGGCCTTGCTTCTCTAGGGAGTGTGAAATAGACCCTTAGTGTGACCTTTTCAATACCCCTTGGTGTTTTACAGACTTGGCTCAAGCCTCCCTTACTCTACAATGATGAGATGCATCTCCCTTAATTTGACCCTGTATAACATTATCCCGAGAGCAGGAATCATTCCTGTTGCTTGTCTTCCAGATTTTGTTTGCAGTGTGATGACCAAAACTGAACACAGTATTCTGACTGAGGTCCTGCTGGTGCTTTGTTGAGCTTCAGCTTAAGCCCACTTAGAGGTTGTGCCCCTTAAAAAAAATTACTCTCTCCTGTTCCTTATCCAGTTATTGATCCCTGTGCTCACATTCCTGCAGCTTTTAATTTCAGGAGCAACCTTGTATGAAGTTGCTTAAGTATTGTTGGTGTCATACTTAGGGATTTAACTTAGTGACAGTCCAACCAAGACATTTGCTAATGACTTGTGTAGCAGTCTTTTCAAGGGCCATCAACGATGTCTGAAACTAGCTGGCTCTGCAGGCGATCTAATTGCAGACATGGGCTGTGACATACTAAGCCCCGCTGGTACAGCAGTTAAACCACCCGGGTTATAATAATAGTGCTGGCGAGCGGGAGGCTGAAACTGTGCTCTTTTTCCCCTTGCAGCCATGTCTCTGGCCGGTAGGGCCTACTTCGATGCCGTTTCCAAGATAGGAGAGAATGCTGCAGTGTCTCCAGTTTCCAGGGAACTGGGTGAGTCCTTGATTTTCCCCCTTTCTCCTCCGCGGCCCGAGAGCAGACCCATACCTGTTGTTTTTCGCACCTGACTGTGGATTAACCCCTGTGGGGCCGCCTGCGCGCCGATGTGTCGCCCGTTCGGCTGAAACTTGAGCCGCCTAGAGAGAGGGAGTGGTGGCTCTGCCCGCGCAGATCCCGCCGAGCCTGATTTTCGCTGCGTAGCTGGTGTCTTCTTCTCAGGAATTTGAGGTTTGTCAGGGCCCCGTTGCTCACCGAGGGCACTGCCAGAGCCTGGCGTTGTAGCTGCGTGCTGTTGTTTTTTTTTTGTGCGTGTAGAACTAAAAATAGGAGCAGGAACTCTGCTGCATTTTCTCACTCGCGCTCCAGAGCCGCCTTGTGTTCTTGCCATTGTCCGCTTCTTGGCAGCGGCGCAACCACACTGAGCTCAGCTGTGCCCTTGTTCCTGCTGGTGGTTTTCCCGGCGCCCGTCGCCCGCAATTGAGCATTTCAGGGTTTTGTGGAAGGTGGGATTAAGAAAGGTGAGACTGTGAGGCCAAACGCAATGAATGAATGGGGAGCAAATCTGAAGAATCTGATGTGTCAATTACCATGGAAGAGACAGTCTTTCTTTCCACCGCTGCAGCAGGCGAGGCGAATACGTCTCTAGCTCGTGTGTTCTGGACCTGTCCAGGAAGCGCCTGGTGTGGCCCGCCTGTGGGAGCTGCACTGCCGGTGTTGAGACAGTAAACTCTGGGGCTGTCGCCATCGTGAACAGACGGCGTCTGTGTCTCCCCCGGCTGTGGGTGTGGCTCGGCGGTGGAGTGTGAATTCTCGCACACTCCGCTCAGACAGGGGGGACGGCACTCCTGCAGTTCGGCTCCTCTTGTTTCACTCGCGCCACCTCCGCTGCCACTGCCCTGGCCAGGCCGATCCCCCCACAGAGGCCTGGTGGGAATTGTTTTGTTGTTTTTCTGTGGAGGGAGGTGTGTTTCCCTGTGCGTGGTGCGTTTTTTTTCCTGGATTTCAGCCAATGCCAGGTCTACCAGTTTGCTCACAGAGATGGGTGGCACGACTGCCCTGTGGCTGCACCCCTGCAGGCGTGTTGAAGGAGACATTGAAGGAAAGCGATTGTGAGAAAATGCTGTAGGTAGAGAAGCCCAGGGAAGGCTTGGGTTTCAGGTTTCCTCATGCTGCAAGAGACCTAGGCTCTTCAGAGAAAAGGGATTTTCCCCAGAGAGCCCGCTTGGATGAGAGCTGTTCTCTCTGACAATACACAGTCGCAGCGTTACTTAAGGTTGTCCAGGTGGTGCTCAGTGTTTCTGGACACGTTGGAAGCTGTGTGAGTGGGGTACGTGCTTGCAGTCGGGAGGGATGTCTGATGCTTGCTCATACACACGAGCGACGACCTTGCAATTGGGTGTAAGCGTGACATGAAATGGTTATAGAAACTAGCAACTGGAAATAGGTTTAATCATGCAAGAACCGTGTTTTTGTGGCTGTTTAATTTGTGACTCTCTGCTTCGTATTGAATGTCTGTACTTCATGCATGGAATAGCCAAGCAGTCGTCAAGAAACCTTTGGACAGTATAACCACCACAGTGCATGGGAAGCCCTTGACTCCCTTCTTGCACGTGTGATACACCTTGGTGGTCTAGTTTACTGCCTTCCTGGGGTATCTGAAGGCAGGCTGACTTATCAAGCGATGCTCTGTCCAGAGTACAGGACCCTCCCTTGTTGTCTGCAGCCTTCGGGCAAACCTCAGAGCAATAGACAGCTGATGCATTTGGGTGTCACGTTAAATCTACTGTAGACAAATTATTTATCTTAAAAAAAGAAAAAAATATACAATATCGATATGCATAACATCATTTTTAATTACGTGGTACTAATTCAGCATACCATATACTTTATCAAAATGCTTAAAACCTTTTCTAAATACCTGTAGAAAACTCACTCAACTTAATAATGCACAGATTTGTATTGATGTTTTTGCACATATCAGTTTAAATCTAATGTTTCTGACATTCATGGCGTTTCCCTGCTGTTGGGTTGCTTTATGGCTGGAGGAGAATGCAACACAAGCCCCTGACTTAGTGCCAGCTCACAGTAATCCTGTATCACAGGACCCTGCAGCCGTTAGCACATAGATAATTACTTGGTGTATAACTGCTGAACTGCTATTTTCCCGTTTTGTTTTCTTCCTGATTAATCAAAAGGGATTAAAACACCATCTTCCACGGTTATAATGCAAACAAGCACTCATGGAACATGCTTGCCAGTTGCTTGGATTATTAATCTTTCTTAATTAAGCTTGCTGGCTAAATCCTGTGAGTTTAAAGGCTGCTGTTTATACATGGCAGGCGTTTTACATGATGCTGGCATTTAAATCATCTCGGCACAAAACAGTCTGCGTACACACTGCCAAACTTGTCTTTCAAGTTACATGGTTACATGTATGAACATTGTTCTGAAACAACATTGAGAACGCAAGGTAGAGCAAAGAAGGGGAGAAAAAAAACTGAGTTACTGAGTTATTTTTTTTAAATCAAGTTTGCAGTTTTTAATGGAACATGCATTTCACTCCTTCCAGATCTGGAGCATTCGCCTGCATTCAGAGATGTATCTATTTGTTCAGTTTATGAGCAATGCAGAGCTGCCAGAGACCAGCAGAAATATGACACAAGGGCAGTCCTATCAACAGGTGATAAAGTGGAATTGAGTCAAGGGGCCAAACTCTGGATAGACATGTGTTTCTTTTCCTGCAGGAAGGTCTGGTTTGGTTGCGCTGATTGTGTTACGTTCTTCCCCTCTGTCTTTGGGAGACCAAGGAAACCATTTATGTCTTGTGTGGTGGCACTAGTGATGTTTGTGTCTTCGTGGGCCTTGCAAAAAAACAGCCTGCTCCGGGGATATGAAATTGACGTCAGTATTACTAAATTCCATTTAGTCCCTTTAGAATCTTTGTTTTAATCCTGAACGCACCTTGATCAAGGATACAGCATCGGCAACCCACCTGGGATTTGAACCCGTGACCCTCTAGTCCATAGCCAGAACCCTAACCAACCCTCCACTCTGCTACCCCTCTTGTGTTAATGTGCAAACCAGATCCATTACTCTCATTCACACAGAAAGTTCCTTTCAGAAGACAGGCCTGTATAAGTGTGTAAGCTATGTCAGATGATACTATAATTGTAACAAAGTACTCACATGATGTAAGCTTCTCCCTTACACTTCCAAATGAGTGCTATAGTTATTGAAGAATGACAGCAGTTAGCACTGCCATCCTTCTAAAGAAGGCATGGATGTCTTGAGCAGATGTGTTCACTGATTGATTTGTAACTTGAGCTGTTTGCTGTTTTCAAAGGGCACAGATTTTCTCACAGTTGTCGAATGCCCCACTGTGATCTGCTGCATTGAAATGAAGCACGGTCCGTGTGGCCTCTGTGTGATGCATCTCAGTTAGGTTTTACATTTGCGCAGCAGCTTTTGAGAGATTAACTTTATCCCTAGCCAGGAAAACAACAAGATGCACTTAGAGTAAAGAAGTACTAAAAAGTACTTCAAGACAAACACTTGAAATAAATTTCTGTTTAATCTAGCAAAGCTTAGATGAAACACTCAGTTCAGTCTTTGAATGTCCTGGAATTTGCTCAAAAGATTTCAGAACTCTCCAGAAGCTAGATTGCATGAAAGACGTACATACATGTTAAAACTGGTGATGGCTAACAAGCCAGCAAAACAGAGAGAAAGCATTTAACATCACATATTGGGTTGGTAATGGTTGATCGGTATCAATTTCTGGGACAGCTAGATAAACAGGGTCATTAAAGAATTTGAACAAAAAAATTTAGAGAGCTCTCAGACTGAATGTCTCCTTCCCGTTATTGAGTGTCACACAAAGCTACATTGTGATTTACCAATGGACAAATCTGTCACCACCAACATGCAAGAGAATGAAAAACATTCATTTTCTGCCACCTTTGGAGAAATCTGCACAGCATACAGAATTGTATCATCTGCGCTGGTATCCTGCCGTTATTAGATTGGTAGTTTCATCCTTGGTTTTGTCACGGTTCTGATGGTACAGTAATTCAGGTCTGTCTGTCACACACATTCAGAAACATGAGAGTTGAAACATTTTGCACAGCGTGCCTAGTCATTTTGTCTTTGATCTCATGTTCTCCTTAGGGAAGTAGAGTCAGTCATCTCTAATCTAATCTTTTGTTAAAGCTATCTGAATTACTGAAAATAAATATACTGTACTGTATATCAAATAAACTGTACACCTTTTATATATTATCCTGAAAAATATACAATACTGGGGAAAAAAGCTGTTTGATAATGGGAAAATATTTTTATACTTTTAAGTTCTTTTCCTTAAAATGTCCCCTTAACTGTGAATAATTCTCGTGACATAGTTCAGCTACAGTGTATGGACAGGCCCGAAATACATAAGAAGGCAGTTGTCTGTGAGTAAGGGTACAAGTAATAGGTTTTGTCCATGCTGAAAAGAGAAGAAAGATAACACAGTTCTTCAGAGGCTCCACGGCCAAACATTTTGTTTTCTTTCCTCTCTTTTCATCATGGACAAAACCTATTACTTGTTCCTACACATGCTGACGCAGCTGCCCACCTGTCTATGAGTAAGGTGAAAATACGCCTTTGTGTCTTCAGAATCTGAACTAAATTATTTTTAAAATTCTTTCTCACGTTTGGAAGGAAGAAATCCAGAAATCCAGATCCCTAATTATCTACCCAACAGCTTCCGTTTCTCGGGGGTGTGGAGGCAGATGTTGGAGGTGTGCTGAGTTTCAGACCTCTCAGATAGTGCCGGGGCGGGGGATTGGGTCTGCGCACGGCAAGCGTCCCCCTGCAGTGTCTGTGCATTCTGCCGTGTGTAGGAGAGCTTGTCTGAGCGACTCGTCATCAGTTGTATAAGAGATCAAAAGGTTCTGGCTCATCCTCCCCAGCTCACACAGCTTCTCTCCCCCTCACAGCTACCCTGAGAGAAGGCT